GAGGTGAAGCAGCGTAAGGGGGCGGTGAAGTGTATGTGAAGGCATCATCGGCGCTGCCCCCTCCAGACGGGGTTTTGATGCCCCTCTGGTGCGGCGCCCCTCTGGCGCGGCGCCCCTCTGGCGCGGCGCCCCTCTGGCGCGGCGCCCCTCTGGCGCGGCGCCCCTCTGCGTTGCATGCGCTGCATACCCACTTTTTGCGCCACTGGTTTTCGGTGATCGGCCCTCATGGGTGATCAGAATCAGCAGGAAAAAACCTAATCAGCACATCTCTAATTTCGACTTTTGATGTCAAATATTTCATCATCGTTCTGACTCTTAAATGATACATTGGTCCTTCCACCACCAGGGGACGCTGCAGAAGTTTGTGGACGACCTTTTTGAGACTGTGTTCAGCACGGCCCATCGTGGCTCTGCACTGCCGTTGGCGATTAAATACATGTTCGACTTTTTGGACGAGCAGGCCGACAAACGGTCAATCACCGACCCAGATGTCCGGCACACCTGGAAGAGCAACTGGTGAGCCAAGAACCCATGAATTTTGTCCCTGAACATCTTCCTAGGTTCCGTCTGAGTAAGCCTCTGTGCGGTATGCAGTCTTCCTCTCAGGTTCTGGGTCAACGTCATTAAGAATCCACAGTTCGTCTTCGACATCCATAAGAGCAGCATCACAGACGCCTGCCTGTCGGTGGTGGCGCAGACCTTCATGGACTCGTGCTCGACATCCGAACATCGGCTCGGCAAAGACTCACCGTCCAACAAGTTGCTCTATGCTAAAGACATCCCCAACTACAAAAGCTGGGTGGAGAGGTAGAAAAGCAGTTACCTTGGTCTTCTCTGGGCTTTTCACATGTTAATGTTTCACAGCTTCGCAGCCCAAACTTTAGAAGAATTAGATGAAACACTTCATTGATAGTTTCTCCACAACCAGATGAGACGTGAGTTCAGGTAACAAACCATCAGAGGTCACCAGATGGGTCATGTACACGTTTAGTTTCTTCTTTATTGAAACAACATTGTCTGTGTACGGCTTTACTTTCACAATCAGTCTTTATTGTTGTGTACAAAGAAGCACAATCAAGTATGTTTGAGTGCAGCCCATCCAAAGAACAAAAAAAGACAACATAAGGCATGGGTAGACAGGTTCCTGAGGCTGGAGCCATCATGGAGGCGCCAGAATAACAGACAAACACCCGGTCCACGGTGCTTCCAGCTGCATGGGTCCCATCGGACCAGACGGCTCTGCTTTGACCGCTCGTCTTCTCCAGAAAATTTGGTCAACTGTGCTGAAAGACCAGGGGCCTCATGCATAACACGGCGTGCGCATAAGAAATGTGTGGCACCATATTTTACGTACAAGATGGCATCTATAGAAATGTAATCAACATGTTTGATTATTTTTAAGGTGTGTATGCAATCACACGTATACAAGTAGCTGCGTGAAGGTGAGCCGTGTAATTGTGGAGCTTTGGCTCTGATGGAGAACAACGGTAGGTTTCAGAGCGAGGATTGATCAGAGATCATATTGATCTGCTGGGAAATGATGATGATGGTTTATGAGCGGTACCGCACAGCTCCTTCTTTAGGTTTTGTTCAGAGCTCCAGAATGATCAGTCTGAGCAAAACCTAAAGAAGGAGCCGTGTGGTACCGGTACCAGTCCAGCTGCAGTCATTCTTCAGTCGAGCCGCCCGCTTTGTCAATGCGCCTTATGGACATAAAGCATCTTTATTCTGCAGATGTACAACTTATGCACATGATTCTACTATTTAGATCAGGGGTGCTCAATACGTCGATCGATCGGAAAGGTTCTGAGTCGATCTCAGCAGGTGACAATCTGATCGCCACCAGGAAGCTGAGAGCAGCACTTCCTCTTCTGACGGGCTTATCAAAAATATTCACCAAGATCCTAAACGTTTGTAGCTTCATTAAAAAAGAATAAGAATAAAAAATCAACGAAACGTGTTAAAATGAACAATCTCAGTAATTATTGTTTCAACAAGGTGTTTTGGTCCCATTAACAAAGAAAAGAGAAAAAAAGGCAACAGAGCAGAGCAGGAGTTTAAATGAGCTGCTCGACCAGCGCTGTGTCCATGAGAGGCTTATTAATAATCGAGGAATAAATATCAAGCCTGGAAACCTGATATGTAACGGACTGAATGTTGTGTTTTTAAAGTAATCTCTGCCACGATAATTATGTGAAATTAAATGAATTATGTCCCGACTTCAGAAGATTTGCCTTTACCTTTACTGGGCTCTCTGGTTCCTCCTATCAGTCTGTAGTTTCTCACATTTCAGTCATCAAACCAAAGTTCAGATCCACCATGACTGACTGACCTGCTGGCCTGAAACCAGCTTCTGACTGAGAAACCAGTAACCTGCTCCCAGTGTCAGAATCTCACTGAGGAAGAAACTGGATCAGGTTTTCTGTCACTTTATTATTTCTGCTACAACTGATGGATATTTGCATATAAAATAAGTCGAGAGTTTAATTTGCAATTTTTATGTCTGTGTGTCCTGAGGTAGATCTCAGGCGGCTGGTGAGAGAAAAAGTAGATCTTGGTCTCAAAAAGTTTGGACACCCCTCTTTAGAATAAACGTCCAGTTTCCCACTCAGAGACTCCGTCTTTAAATCCGGGCTGAAAGCTTTGCTGCTGTTCAGACAGGCATTTGCAGGATATTTTTATTTTTTAAATTTGATTTTTTTTTCTTTAAAATGTATTTTTATTTTGTGAGGTGACAGTATGTGCCCTCAAAGCAACTTTTAAAGAAAAATATATAAGTATTATTATAAATACTTAGACTGCTTCACACAATGGGGGTGCTGTGGTGGCGCAGGGGCAAAGCACAACCCCCATATTCAGGCCTTGGTCCTCATGCCAGAGGTCACAGGTTCGATTCCCGGTCTGGTGACATTTGCCGCTCATCTCCCTCTTTCCTGTCGAACTACTTTCAAATAAAGGCCAGTAGAGCCAACAAAACCTTTAAAAAAACCCGCTACAAACAAGGCCGTTGCCATGGTTACGGCTTCACGTGGCGGCAGACTTCTGGGTATTTATACTAATTTACATTAATATGTATTTATGGAGGCGACAGGCGGAGCAGCAGCTGCTCTGGTCCCTGTAAATTAGGATTAATAAAGGAAAGGTGCGCCACCACGTGCGCACGGCTTCATGCATCCGACTTCTTTTGTGCACCGCATTTTTCTACATTCCTCTGTACTCCCAAGTTTTAGTGTGAAAACTGCGCAGTCTTTTATGCGTGAGGCCCCAGTTGACCAGACCCATAATTTACAATTTGGAGGACATGCAAAGAGATGCCCCGAAAAAAAATAGCAAAAGCAGCGCAGATGGGGGAGGCAGGAGAGGGAAAAGTGCCCCACCTTCACCAGGGGCAGGAAGACACTTTGAGACTTGTTTCAGCAGTTTTTCATTTCAGATTTCATCCATAGTGCTCTAAAGCTGGAAGCTGCTGATTTGCTCTCATTGTTGGGTTTTTGAAGATTTCATTGGAAAATGTGGCTTCTTATAAGAAATTCAGTTACTTTCAGAAACTCAAAACAGATGATTAGTCCACAAATCCTCAAAGGCATTTGAAAAGTCTAAAATCTGTTTGGCTGAACAGATCCAGATTGTTCAGTCCGGAACCAGAAGCTGGTGTTTCGGTTCCGGACCGGTCTCACCTGTCTGTCTGTCATGAAGGTACTACAGGGACATCTCCAAGATGCCCAGCATCAGCGACCAGGACATGGACGCCTACCTGGTGGAGCAGTCCCGTCTGCATGGCAACGAGTTCAACACACTGAGCGCGCTCAATGAACTCTACTTCTACATCAACAAGTACAAGGAAGAGGTGAGGCTGTTGTTTCCTTCTTCTGCAGTTCTTGGTTTCACAGCTTTTCCTGGGAAACTTCAGTTTGGTCCTCATTCCATGATTGTACTTTCCAAAAAGAAAGATGTAGAGGCTTTTGGTCTCCTGCCAAAACTTCCTTAAAGAGCCTGATGTGTGACCTCCAGCTGATCAGGAACGTGTGGAGCTCCTACTTGGGTTCACAGCCCAGGACTCCCTCCAGGCTTTTCCTGCTTCATCCAGAGGAAAAGTCAGGCAGGACCAGAAGGACCAGTTTGGATGTTTTTATCTGTTCTGGTTCTGGATGTTTTAGAAGCTGGGTTTCAACTAGTTTTCTATTTTTGAATGGATAAGAGTGAATATTTTACTACCTAACGCTTGTTTTACATGACTTTATATCTAAATGATGTCCACTGTTTTCTTCACTGGGCCTCAAAGCTCCAGTCATCAGGATTTTCATGTCGCTTTAGATGAGCCTTTTAAACCGGGTCAAACAGAACCAGAACTGACTCTGATGCCTCCTGATACAA